GCGGGTTCGATCCCTGGGTCAGGAAGATCCCTTGGAGTAGGAAATGGCAACCCACTCCAGCATTCTTGCTTAGGAAATCCCATGGACAGAGAAATTTGGCAGACCACAGTCCGTTGAGTCGCAGTCTGACACGACTGAGTCACAGAACACACATACACAAAGTCCTGCTCCTTTAGGGGGCGGGTCTGGGGCAATTCGCCTCTGCCCTTCAATTGACCAATCCCCGCCTCAGGGGGGCGGGGATTTCAATGTTTCCGCCCCACCTCTGTAGAGCACTGAATGTGTTTGGGCGCCGTTCAAACGGACCAATGAGCGCTCGACGTTTCCTGGTCTCACCGATTGGCCAGAGTTCGTCGCCCCTCCCTCCTTGACATGCCTCTTGCCCCACCCTTTATCACACAAGATGGCGGCGCCCAGCGGAGTAGAGGCCGCGCCTGGGGTTTGCTAAGGCTCGCTCCCTTCCCTCCTGCTCCCTTGGGCTCAAAGAGCCGCGAGCCTAGAGAACGGGGGCCGGGAGGGGACAGGGGCACCTGCGTAGCTGGACCGCGAGCTCGCGCCCAGCCTGCGCCGCCCCCACCCGGCCCCGGCCTGGCCCGATCCCTTCCGTTCCCGGTCTCCTCTCGATCTGACCCATTGCCCGGCCGTGGTACGCCACCAGCAGGCCTCCAAAGCTGAGATTTTTTTCCTCCAGCCCGGGATCACTTCCACTTTAGAGATGTTTGGGCTCTTTCTTCCCAAACAGCTCGCCTTCAAAACTGGGAGACCTGGCCCTCTTTCCCTCCCCTGAGACTCCACTTCTAACCCAGTTCTTCCTCAGCTTCTCTCAGATTGGAGAGACCGTTCACCTCCCTTCCAGATTAATCCCTGAGCCCCCTTTCCCCCAAATATTGACAACCGTGACACCCCCCCTCAACCGGGTGCCAGACTTCTCTTGGACCAACCCCATAGCCCTATCATGGAGGCTGTGTACTTGGTAGTGAATGGGGTGGGCCTGTTGCTGGATGTGCTGACCTTGGTGTTGGATCTCAACTTTCTGCTGGTGTCCTCCCTCCTGGCTTCCTTGGCCTGGCTCCTGGCCTTCATCTACAACCTGCCACACACGGTACTGACTAGTCTTCTGCACTTGGGCCGTGGAGTCTTATTTTCATTGCTGGCCTTGATTGAAGCTATGGTCCGCTTCACCTGTGGAGGCTTGCAGGCCTTGTCTGCGGTACTGTACAGCTGCTGTTCTGGCCTGGAGAGCCTAAAGCTCCTGGGGCACCTGGCCTCCCATGGGGCGCTTAGGAGTCGGGAGATCCTCCACCGAGGTATCCTCAATATGATCTCCAATGGCCATGCTTTGCTGCGTCAGATCTGTGACATCTGTGCCATCACCATGAGCCTGGTGGCCTACGTGATCAATAGCCTGGTCAACATCTGCCTCATTGGCACTCAGAACTTCTTCTCTCTCGTGCTGGCCCTGTGGGATGCAGTGATGGGGCCGCTGTGGAGGATGACAGATGTAGTGGCTGCCTTCCTAGCCCACATTTCTAGCAGTGCCGTGGCCATGTCCATCCTTCTCTGGACCCCCTGCCAGCTAGTGCTGGAGCTCTTGGCCTCAGCTGCCCGCCTCCTGGCCAGCTTTGTGCTTGTCAATCTCACTGGCCTGGTGCTGCTGGCTTGTGTGCTGGCAGTGACAGTGACTCTGTTGCACCCGGACCTCACCTTGAGGCTGGCCACCCGGGCACTCAGTCAGCTCCATGCCCGGCCATCCTACCACCGGCTCAGAGAGGATGTTGTGCGTCTCTCTCGGCTAGTCCTGGGCTTGGAGGCCTGGCGCCGAGTCTGGAGCCGTAGCCTGCAGCTGGCAAGCTGGCCAAACCGGGGAGGGGCCCCTGGAGCCCCCCAGGGTGGCCCTAGGAGGCTGCCCTCAGCCAGGACATGGCGACAGGACGTTCTTCCTGAAGCTGGGCCCCAATCGGAGGCAGAAGAGGAGGTCAGGATGGCCAGAGTGACGGCAGCCCGGGGCCGGGAGAGGCTCAACATGGAGGAGTCTGTAGCTGGGCAGGACCCGTGGAAACTGCTGAAGGAGCAGGAGGAGCGGAAGAAGTGTGTCATCTGCCAGGACCAGAGCAAGACGGTGCTGCTTCTGCCTTGTCGGCACCTGTGCCTGTGCCAGGCCTGCACTGAGATCCTGATGCGCCACCCCGTCTACCACCGCAACTGCCCACTGTGCCGTCGGGGCATCCTGCAGACCCTCAACGTCTACCTCTGAAGGTTTCCTCCCTCCCTCCTGCCCACCCCTCCACGCTCCACACAGCCATTTGCGCGCAGACAGCCTTCACACCTGATCTCTGGGTCCCGGCCTCCATCCCCTGCTGCCCCCACAGTCATCGTGCTGAGTCTCTAAGCTGCATCTCCAGGACATTGAAATGGGAAACCCTGGAAGACTGTGACTTGGGTAGGGGCAGGGTAACAGCTTTTCCTTACCCCGTGTCTCCCTGTGATGCCAAGGGTGGCGAGGGTGTCGCTCTGCAAGGCCCTGGAGACTGTTCACTGTGGACTCCCCTCCAGCCTGCCAGGGCCCACCCTGATGCCAGCATTGGGGACTCCCCCCACTTTGTTTCTGGTTTTTCTGTTGTGGATTTGTAGGTTCTCTCCCTGCTCCCTGCCCACTTCCTTCCCAGCTTCTTCAGCCATGCACATCAATGTCATTTGGGTATTTTGGCAACTCAAGGGCCTTAGAATGATCTTGAACATTTACTTTCAGCTGGAGCTGCTATGCTCTGGCAGGCTTTGGGGGTAGTATATCTCAGGTGCCCTTTGAGCTGCTTCTACCTGTCGTGATCTTACAAGGCTCCCTCCTTACCTGACCTGACAGCTGGGATCAAGCATTACCCCCCAGGTGTGTGTGTATGTGTGTATGTTTGCACCTGGCTTTGGGACCATGTACCCTCTGATACCCAGCACCACTGGGAACCTCAGGAGGGATAACCAGATTTCTGTTCTTCCTTTCACTCCCCACATCACAGAGACAAAAATGGTATTCCCCTTCTGTCCGTCTCTCCCTGCCACTGGGGAGGGCAGACTGCACATTTCACTAGGGTCCAAATACAGGAGCCAGGGCTGAGGGGCATGCAGCTCCCTGAGGGGTCCATCTGGCCCAGGATCCAATGAATAAAGTTGTGTTACAGCTCTGATGGCCTCTGTGTGCATCTTTGCAAGGGTTGGTTGGTTATGGTAACGGATGCTCCAGCAGGGTCTTTCAGTCCCAACAAGTGTAGTTGATGGAACTGGCAGGGGAAGAGCTGAGATAGGGTGCCTTGGGGAGAGCCCGTGCCCTGTGTGGCTAGATTTGCTTTTACCTTCTCCAATTTGTGCCCTCTCATATGCATGGCTTTTGGAAAGCTCTCCCTATCTTTTCCAGGCTTCCCTGGTGGCTCAGTCAGTAAAGAATCTACCTGCAGTGTGAGAGACCTGCAGGGTTTGATCCCTGGGTTGGGAAGATCCCCCAGAGAAGGGCATGGCAACCCACTCCAGTATTCTGTCCTGAATCCCCATGGACAGAGGAGCCTGGCAGGCTACAGTCCATGGGGTTGCAAAGAGTCAGACACAACTGAGCGACTAAGCATAGCCCTATCTTTTCCATTTGCCAGAATTGAGCCCTTGGAGAGAGGAATGTGAACTTACCCTTTGAGCAAGTTTTTCTTCTAGTGCCACACTTTCCAGGAGAGCACTTGTGGCCCTTGCTGCCTGGAGTCCAATCTACCCTGAGATCCCTGAAGGAGCTGGTGCTTGTCTGTGTGTCTCTTGGCAGAGAGCGGCGCTATGACGGGCTGGAGCATAGCTGCGGGGCCTCCTCATGGAGAGCTGGGAGAGCTGGGAGCTCATTTAATGGGCCCAGTCCCCATTGGGCATATCAATCCTCACATGACCTGCAAAGGGGTGGGGGGGGGGGGTGGAACACTACCCCATAATTGTATGTTAAATGTAGGAGCATAATGCCAGGGACAGCCTTCTGGAAGGAGGGGAGGGGGGAAAGGGGTAGGTCAGGAGGAAATGCTGAGGAGAGGCCCCTTCACTTTTGCGTTGAGAGCCTGAGCTGATGTGGGCCTGGCAAGCCAGGGTTTGTAAGTCATTGGGTTAGGGGCGGGACAAGGCGGGGAGACTTGAAGGGGCTCTGCGGCTAGCCTCAGACTTAGTGGCGCGGCCTAGCACAGCGAGGGAGCGTTCCCCACATCCACCTTGGAGTGGAGAGGTCTGAGGAAGGGCTTTTCTGCCTCCCTTCCCCCAACCCTGGAGGGGGAGCTGATCAAGGGGAGGCTTAGTTCCTTCCAGTCTCTGTTTAATGTGAGGATAAACATTTTATGAGAGAAGATAAACTTCCTGAGCTGGGAGCAAATGACCCCATTATCCCCCACCCCCATCTGGAATCCTACTGGGAGACCTCAAAACCCTTCCTCTACCTAATCGCCCTAGTAGCCAGGAGCTCAAGCTATCTGGGGTCACTGCTGAATTCTGGAACTGGGGCGCCCCCTTGTGGCCATCTCCGAAAATGACATCTCTAGACAGCCAGGGACACTCCACTCCCCTGGCCTCGAGGACAGAGAAATAGCGTTCCAGTCATCCACGAAACAGGCACATAGCCAGAGGAGCCATGGGTGAAAATCTCAAGTTCCTTTTTGTTGGTCAGGGCAGGGATGTGTGTGTTGAAGCTCCAACCAGTTCTTATATCTTTGAGTTAGAAAAAGGTGTGCCTTCTTGGGTGGCCGGAGTCCCCCACCAGGACACCATCCCCAGCAGGGCGCTCCTGTTCACAACCTACACCGCTTGGGGGGCAGCTCCGTGGACCGGTCTCTTCATCACCTGGGCCTGTTTTCTGTATCTCCTGGTCCATAGCTCCATCCAGCCTCAGAGCCCTTCCTTCTGCCTGAGCACCCTCTCCCTCCACCATTCTCCCATGTCTCCCCATTCTTGGAATCAAAGCATTTCCACCAGTAAAGAAAGACTGAAGCCAGCAGGAGGGTTTTATTAGATTTATTGAATTATCTCTGAGAAAAAGGGCCCAGGAGCAGGAAGGATGAGGGAAGACCCAGAGAGACAGAGGACCAGGAAGCGAGCACCGCACCTGGGGGTCCCGGGCCAGAGCAACTGGGGGGAACTAAACCTGCCAGAACAGCGAACTCCTTTGATCTAGGGCAGAAATCCAGCTACTGCCCCATGCTGCCAGCCCTGATCTCAGCCTTGATCCCCATTCCCTGCCGGCAGCAGAACAGAGAAGCCCCCACCCCACCTCTGCAGTCATTCGGGATACTCCAGGGGGGCCAGCCCTCCCGGGTGATGGGGCCAGTCGGTGTCACTCCCTCCTCCCCTAGGAGTGAGAGAGCACGAGCTCACTTCCCAGTGGGCATCAAGCGAAGACAGGGGAGCTGTGCCAGTCAGAATACACTAGAAATCCAGAGAAGGTGCTGTCTGTCTTGATGCTGGCATAGATGCCAATATAATCCCCCACGCCCACCTGTACCCACACCTGGTCCTCAGGCTCCAGCCTCACCATGGCGCCCCCGGAGAGCGAGGCTGGCTTGGGCCAGCCCCCGAAGAACTGGAAGAAAGAGGCGATAGACTCGCCGTTCTTGACCAGATCAAACTGCAGGCTAGCCCGGTAGACGGTGGCGTGGACGGCAAAGTAGTAGACCCCGGGCACCTGGCAGGTGAACTTGCCGGTGACGGCGTCGTAATGTCCCTGCTCGTTCACCAGCACGCGGTCGAAGGGTAGGGGCGCGTCCGACGGCGGGGGCACCCGGCTCTCAGAGCGCTTAGCGCTGAAGGCGGAGCGCGGAGGTACCGAGCATTCGCCCGCCGGCCCGGTTGCTCCCATGGGTCCTGCCTCTCCTCGCGGCCCGGGCTCCCCACGCGGCCCCGGGAGGCCTGCGGGTTGGGGGGGGAGGGAAGCAGAGCGGTTAGGGTGCGCCCGCCGCGGTCCTCCCGCACCCTCCCTCGGCCTCCCAGCCGCCCCTTCCCAGCTGGGGCCGCCCTGCGCCCCAGGGCCCCCATCCCCGCTTCCTGCAGGGCTCGGGGTGGATCTGAGGGTCCCAGGGGTTCCGGCTCCCCCGCTGAGTCACTCCTCTGCGCGCTCCCGGAGGCGACGGGGTCGGGCGGGGACGGGAGCGGCGCCCCCTGGCGTGAACCCCTAGCTCGGGACCCCGCGGGCAAGAGCCGGGCCGCGCTCACTGGGACATCCCCACCGATCGCCGCCGAGGCGCCGCTTACCCGGCCTCCCGCCCTCGCCTTTCTCTCCCGGAGCCCCCGGCGCGCCATCGCGGCCGTCGCGGCCGTCGCGGCCCGGCAGGCCCTGGCTGCCGTGGTGGCCCGGCGTGCCGGGGAGGCCCGGGTGCCCCGGGCACAGGCTGGGGATCTTGTTGTCGTCCAGAGGGGCCGAGCCGGTCGCCAGGCCCAGGAGCAGCAGGGCGAGGAGCGGCCTCATGGCGCTGGCACGCGGAGCCCGGACGCCGCGGGCCTCTGGTCGTCTGTGGGCCGGGCAGGACGGGAGTCGGGACCAAGAATCCTGGGACCTGTCTCGGTCCCCACTCCGGGCGCGGCCGGCTCAGTCCCCACCCCACTGCCGTGTCCCTGAGCGAGGCTGAGTGGCCGCGTGGGGAAGAAGAGGGGTCCCTAAGACTCGGGAACCTCTAAAGCCCTGCGCCGAGGGAAGGACAGACCGGACCTCCCTCCTCTTCCAGCCCCGGCCGGCGCCCAGTCTTTCCCACAGTCCCCTCCCCCAGCCCCATCTCCCCGCCCCACTCACGCCCCTCCCGGCGCCGGGGGCTGCTCGCTGTCTCCGTGGCCTTCGAGGCTCTCGCTAATCCAGACCCTCCAGGTGACCCCAGCGCTGCCTTCCCTGCGCTTCGCTCCAGCCAGGCTCCCCCTGTCCCCGGTGTCTCCCTGGTCCTGTTCGTTCCTTGCCGGCTCCGCGGTGCTCCTCCCAGACTCCAAGAGGAAACCAGTTGCTCGGGGGCCAAGAGCCCAGGCCGGGAAATAGCAGGGAAATAACTCGTGGTGTCGCGCGGCGGCCGGCCAAAGTTTGGGGGAGAGAGGAGGGAGAGGTTTGAGGCGGGCACAGAGAGGCAGAACTGTGAGAGACAGACGCTCAGGGCATCCATAGCTCCAAGGAGCTGGAAGCAGAGATGATGCAGCGACAGAGACCAAGGATAACAGAGACCAAGGATAAATCCAGGAGAAATAGAAGCTGAGAACTGAGGGTGGAGGGTTCTAGAGCAGTAGACAACTGGATGGCCAGGGCTCAGAATAGGCCCTGCCACATAACTAGACTCTAGATGACATTTTCTGTTGAATAAATGAAAATGTCAGAAGGCGGGTGGTAGAGAGCCTGAAAAACCAGATGGGAGATGGGAAAGGCAGAAAACAGGAAGTCAAGGTCAGACACGGGTGGGAAGAGCTCCAGATTGTCAGTGGTACAGCGGTGGAGTCAGGCCAGCTGTTTGCAGCAGCTGGGGAAAGTAAAGGCATAGGGGAGGATGCGGGAGGGTGGGGGGCTCCACTAGCGTCACTGAGGACTCCTCTTCCCCTCCCTGGGAGGACCCCTAGGTGAGGGGGATGGGCAGAGTTCCATGCTGGGCCCCTTCCCTTGCCCCCTTGCCTGCCCACCCTGATTGGCAAAAGAGGGTGTGTAACAGAGGGCAAGGGCCCCGCCTCAGGGTCAGGGCTGGGCACAAGCCTCCAGGCCAGCTGCCTCAGGCAGCCTGTTGCAGTTGAAGGGCCAGGGGGTGCCCAGTAGCGCCAGGCCAGACTGGCACTGGCGCTCTGCCTCCTGGCAGACAGAGCGGCAAGGGGGAAGGACGCTGCCTAGTGGGGTGCAGTGGGGCACCAGCAGCCCGCAAAGGAGCCTCCGGAAATTCTGGTAGCAGGGCAGGCTTGTCAGGCTCTGTGGAAGGAAGAGGGGAGCCCTCAGGCACCCGGCTCCCCAGATTCCCTCCCTTCCTGGGGGCTCCTCCTTATCTCTGCCTGGAGCACCTTGTAACCTCTGAGGACCTCCACCACCTCCTCCTGGGTGGTCATGCCCACCCAGATGTTAGGGAAGGCCGTGGTGTTGTAGCTCAGACCGACGCACATCTCCACCTGGACAGGCTCACAGGCCAGCTCTGCAGGGAGGGGAGGGGAGAGTCACCCTGGGGAGCACTCCCTGCCTGTGTGACTGGGGACAAGTCCCCTAATCACCCTTCATGGGTCAGACGGGGCTTGTAAGAACCAAAGGAGGTAATATGGAAAGAAAGTGAAAGTGTCAGTCGCTCAGTCGTGTCTGACTCTGCGACCCCATGGACTGTAGCCCGCCAGCCTCCTCTGTCCACGGAATTCTCCAGGCAAGATCCTGGAGTGGGTTGCCATTGTGAGAATCAAAGGAGCTAACACGGAGAGGTGCCTTATATACATGTCAAGGGTTCCTGTTCTCGGGAGCCTATTCCAAGCATCTTTCGCCAGCCCCGGGCATCATGCAGGCACCTCTGTGATCTCAGGAAGCAAGGGTCACCAACATTGGCAGAACCACTAGCCATCTGGAAGGAATTCCCCCGGGCTCACCCACATCTGTGAGGTGGACCTCTCTGTGTGGTAAAGGCCAGACTGGTTTTTGAAGCCCCAACCATCGTCTCCCAGATTCCCATTTGCTTTGGGGGTAACTCTAAATACTGTTGCCATGGCTGGGGGAGAATCCCTTCAGGATTTGGTGAAGTGGTCCAGAGTCTGAACAGGGGGCCCCCAGCCCCCATCGGGAAGGACGGGGTAACTGTTAAGACGCGTGCCCGCGGGTTTCTCTGGATGGGCACCCAGCCTTCCCAGTCTGCCAGCCCTGCCCGCAGTGCCCTGGGGCCGGCTCCTCACCTGGGGTTGGGAACAAGGGGCTGCTGCAGTTGTCATCGGCGCAGTCTCGCCACGTGCTGCACATCCACTGCAGACTCTTACACCTTCCATCCTGGCAGGGGAACTCTCCGGGCCTACAGGGGCCTGCAGGCACAGGGGGGCATGTCTGAATCCCCATGCCCTTCACTGTGCTCAGACCAGGGTCTAGATCCCTTCCCATTCTTCTGGAGGCGCCCCTACCGCCCACACCCAAGTGCCCAGGGCCACCTACCCTCTGTGGCATTGAGGGCCCGGTAGGTGGCTGAGAAGCCCCCAACGCTGAAGCCATGGTCTGTCCTAAAGAGCACTGCCAGCTGGTGGTGCGAGGAGATGAGACGCGGGGGCAGCTCTGCTCCACAGAACCTGTCCAGAGCAGGCAGCGGTCCTGGCATCAGGCCGCCTGGCTGAGCGAGCATGCGTGAGGCCTCTTGCAGGCCCGGGGCGGGTGGAGGAACCAGGTTCTCTGGATGATGCCAGAGGGGATGGGAGGCATAGTCATTGACTCATGGGAGGAAGACACCTGTGTTCAGTAGACAAAGGACTAGACACACTGCTTGAACTTGAGGCACTTCGACCTGGGGATAATTAGTGAAGGTTCCGGGGGAAGTGAACACGGACCCAGGAGAACTGGGAGTGGGAGAGGCCTGGGGAGGGCTTCCTGGAGGAGCAATGTAAGGAGTCAAGGCGAGAGGGACAGGTACAAAGGTGTGGAAGGACAGGCCTTTTTTAAAAAAAGTGTGACAGTGAGGAGACCTCCAGCTTGGTGCAAAAGAGGACAATGATGCTACTGAATGGCTGTGGTAATTTGTGGGCAGCCTTGACATCAGGCAGTGGAGGCGGGGGTGTATCCTTGGCTCCTCCCATGAATCTGCCCTATACCTGTCCAGGAGACTGAGGGCCCCTGAGCTGCGGGCCTCGTACACCTCCACGTAGTCAGACTTGCACTCGTCCTGAGCTTCCAGGCTGAAGTTGTGGAAGAGCAGTTCGATGCCATGTCCAGCAGGCACCGAGATATGCCAGGTGCAAAGCTTGGGGAAGGCACAGGTCGGGTAATTTATGGGTTCCTTCTCCTGTCCCAATCGGGGTCCCCAGGCTGAGCTCCAGACGGGCTTTCCCCGGGTGCATGTGGTGGGGGGGGGGGGGTTGGCCCACACCACTCTCATCATCATTCGCGGAAGGGCCTTTAACTTGTCTGGTCTCAGAGATAAGCTTACCCAGCATGGGAGCTGGGTGCCTAGTAAGCCCTTAATAATGTCCCCTTCCTGTCTGCTTGATCTCTGGTCTGTCCAGGTACAAGGAGTATCTGCCATGCTGTTCTCAATTGCACTAACCCCGATGCTCAGGTGTGCCCACGTGTGCCCCACTGCCCTCCCCATGGAGTGCTGGCTGGCTTACCTGTTGGTGAGGGTACTGCTGCAGGTAGCTGGGAGCAGAGAAAGTGCCCTCAAGCCCAGTCAGGTTCCCCCCACACCCTGTAGAGAGGAGAGGGGGAGGCTCATGAGTTTACCACGATCTGTGCCTTTGGCCAGTAGGCCCGGCAGTGACAGCGGCAAAGAGTCTTGGCTGTGCCCATGGGAAACAAGTTCTGGGCCAGAAGGATGACCAGGCAGGTTTGGATCTGGGCCAGGTCAGGGGGGGTCCAGCCTGCACTTGGATCAGACAGTACCCACCCCGAGGCTGATCGGACCTGTACCTGAAAACTTGGCACTGCAGTTGGTCTCATCACTGCCGTCAGCACAGTTGGCGAAACCGTCACACACCGAGTCACGCAGCAAGCAGACGAACTGGTCACAGGGGAACTCCTCGTGGGCACAGCGCCCTGGGGGTAGGCATCTGGATTCAGAACCCTCTAGAGTCTCTACCCCTTTTGCAGGACTGGGAGCAGCTGGAGGGAAGGAAAGTGGCTGGTTGACAGATAGCTGGGCATTTGGTGGGAGAACACTCACCATGTCCAGGGGCCACAGCCTGGTACCAGGCATGGAATCCAGATCCTTCCACACTGCTGTCAGAGACGAAGGCCACCCGGAGGCGGCTGGCATTGGTGTTGAGTGTGGGGGGAGGCACCCTCCCACATACTCTGCAAGAAGCCAGATTGGGGGTGATGGCGGCTCAGAGCTCAGGGCCAGCAGGAGTGGAGCCTGCCTGAGCTCTGTGGTCCTCTTTCCTGAAGCCCCATCCTGGGGACGATGTGTCGAAAAAGGTTCCCTTTCTTCCCAGCAGAGCCGTGACCTCCCTGGCACCTGCTTGTCCATCCTTGAAGCATTGATTCATGGGAAAGACATGCAGGAGCTCCAGCTTCCAGATTTGGAAGTCAAGGTCAGAGAGGGGAAGTGACCTTCCCAAGGTCATATAGCAAGATGGTGGCAGAGCTGGGCGCAGAGGCCAAGTCTCTCCATTTCTTCCTCCCAGTCAAGAGTTTCCCTCTGCATCTCCCTGGTTCTGCCCTCCAGACAGTCATTCAGGACAGGGGTGAGAGAGTGGCGCTTGGGATCTCTGGGGACAGAGGAACCTACCTGAGGAGGGGGCCTTCAGGCTCAGGAGAGATTTCCAAGCGATCGAAAAGACAAGAGGCCACACTCTCCGTGCTGAGTGTTTCAATCTTGA